ACGCCTGCGGCCGGGGGAGCCCTCCAGTCCCCACCGCCGGAGAGGCCGGTGACCTCTTGGCTGCCCCGCCTTAGAGGCTCAGATGGCTCAGGCGAAGATCAATGCGAAAGCCAACGAGGGGCGCTTCTGCCGCTCGTCCTCCATGGCCGACCGCTCCAGCCGCCTGCTGGAGAGCCTGGACCAGCTGGAGCTCAGGTGAGCGGCGGCGGGGTCGGGGTCGGGGCTGAGGCCGCGCGCGGCGGGGCGGCGGGGGCACAGCCCCCCCCCCGGCTGCAGCAAGGTAAGCTGCTCGCTAGAGACTTGTTTCTGATGGAGATGGTGCAGTTTGGTGTTTCGTGGTGGTTTTCTCTCTCCTTGCCCGAGAGGAAACACATTCGACTTAAGCAAAACCTGTGAGCGCGCTCTTGGCGGCCACATGCACATTGACAGACCTGAGCGTTTGAGAGAGGAGAAAAATCAGAAAATAAAAGTTAAGTGACGTCATTTGAGATTAGGGACTGTGACACTCCCAGTCTAACAGAACTTCGAGAAGCTTCTGCGTGCGGCTATATGGTCTTCCCAAATGTTTTTAACTTGGTCTTTTCCTATTATGCACTTTTAAGAGAAGTAGCAGTTTAGCGGTCCCAGGTGTTCATGGACAGTTTCTTTGCTCCAAAACACTTCAGAGGAAGAAATGTAAAAATCCAGGAATCCTGAGAGCAAGGACTAGAGAGGAGTAGGACAAATGAGGAGCTGCTGGTTGAGCGGTAGGTGGGTACTTTGTGGAATAAAGACACTGCAACTTCTGTTTTCCCCCTAACCCCCGCGTACTGTATTCAGCTCTAACGTTAGTTAGTCTCTCAATATTTGTGTACCTCCTTCCATAGAAGACACTGACGATACCTTGAAAGTGCTGGTCACTGGCCTGAAAGCATAAGGTAGTGACAGTTTTTCCATCTTAACTGATTACGATTTTATTAAGTAATTAATATAGTGGTAGGCTTGTATAGAATTTGTAAATTATATGAAATTTTGGAAATATTTTTTCCTTTAGCAGTGTACGAAAACTTTTATGTACTTCCTGTAAACGTTCGCGCCACTGAAGTCACCGTGTAAATTGTGTCCAGGTGCAGTTAAAAATCTTTATAAGGCACCCTCTCAATCCCCTGACACTACACAGAATTTTTTCCCATAATTTTCACCAGGTTCTGGGTGAGCAAAGGAGTACATGAACCAAAAATTTTAAGAAGCATTGCATTATGTCTTTACCTCCCTCGATAAATATACCAAAACAAGAAGTGTCTCTTTTCCAATGAAGTGCATTAATAACCACAGTGTATCTTAGCAAATGAGGCATTTATTATTATTACTAACCCAAGAAAGGAGACAGAATATGAGAACTCCATCCACAATGATTTCGTGGATGGGAACTGTTAGAGAAACCTGAGCCAAAACCACATTCTGGGGTTCTGCTCAAAATGAGACAAGCAGAAGGAGAGGAAAATAATGCTTCCTCATTACTTTTAACACTAACATTTTTACATCAACCTCTAGAGATCAGTGTCCTCAGCTATTTAATGTCCCTCTGAAGAATAATATTTCTTTTTATATAGCAGTATAACAAGTAACTCACACATCTCCCCATGTTTTTAGAACTTTGAGGGCACGTTCTCAACCATTTCAAGAGTTTCGCTCCCTTAAACAGAAAGGATTTTAAGGATTTTTTTTCCTTAAAGGAATGAGGGTGTTGCCCATCTTCAAGCTGAGTCATTGTCCTCAAACTTGAATTAATGCCTGTGTGTGTGGGGAGGCGGGGGAGGGGGATATAAAAGCAGTCAAATACTGATCACTAAAAGCCTCTGGTTTGGGGTATTATATTCTAATATTGATTAATATAAATGAATTATGATTACTATATACAAGTGATTAAATTTATAACTTAATTAGCCATTGAGCTGAGGTGGAAAGACTGATTAATATGTGTCCAGTTGTTCATTTTAAGGACTTTTCTTGTAATATTAGACTGTTGTAAGCTTTCTTTCTTTAAAAAAAGTAATATTGACTGGAAACTAAGGATCTGTTTCAGAAGGTAAGTAAAAATAGAGAAAAATGCGATGTTCGTCCATTTAAGTTTATTTGAAACCACATGGGCATGGTCACAGAGCACTACACTGTTAAAAACTAGAATAATGCCTAGAAGAGCAATTTTTAAAAGAAAACATTCATATATAATTTTGCTCTAATGGTTTAATTTCATATTAAGGACGACTAACAAAACAGTATATTAGGTTGAGTTTTTACTTAGACGCTTACATTTTCAATTCCTCACCAGTTCTTATTTTGTCATTTGTGGTAGAAACTTTTTCCATGTGACACTGAAAACAGAATTATGCTAAATGCTCTATGACCCGGAGGTCGAACTGGTGTACATGATGTTTAAAATGCTTTAAGATGTTTGGTAGCATTCTGCAAACTGTTAAAGAAATTCCATTTGTTTCTCACATTTTACCATAACACTGGCCTTCCTTTTTTTGATTCCTCCTAAAAAGGTGATTTCTTTATCTTCTGGTTTTCATTACCAATTCTAAATGGTGTCTGATTTTTGCATTCATCAGTGGCTTAAGACACCTTGCTTATTTTTATTTTTTTAAAAAGTTATTGTAATTTATAAATAATTCATGCTAACAATTATTCATTTAATGAGAACTGACTATATGCCAAGCCCATGCCTTTCTGGAAGTTATTATTACCTCCATTTTCCTGATGAAAAAATGAGGCTTAGGAAGTTAAATGACTTGTTCAGGGTCACATAGCTAGACCCCAGGAAGGTTGGCTATAGAGCTTACTACTTTATTACGAAATTTTCTTAAGTGTGTCATATTTCAAAATGTGGAACTAGTATATAGACATATATATGATTTTACTGAAAGAGGTGAAAATTCCATTTAAATTGGTGTTTAATTCAATAAATATTGAACACCCGCTCTGTGCCAGGTATTGAATGGCTCCTAGAAGGCTCTGGATGGTAATGAATGTGGATTGTGGAGATACAGGATGTGGAGAATGGTACAGGGGCAAATGACAGCATGAGAGATTGGCTGTTCACAAATTTCCCCAAACTGATCTTATTGTGGCTCCTTCCACTCTTATCAGCCATTTGCAATGGCTTACGTAGCAGCCAGGGAATAAAGAGTTGAGACAGGTGGGTGATATGGATCATTTGTCTGGCTGAAAGTTTCCCGTTGTTTAAAGTTTCTTAGGGTGTGCCAATGTCCCAGGAGTCATAAAACAAGATGGTATCATAATTAATATAGTATAACAGCCTATAATTTAAAAGAACACTTTTCATAAACATTGTCATTTGAGGTAGGAGGAAGGCAGATATTATCTCTTTTAGAAATGTGGGAACTGAGGTTCTAAGGGACCAGGTGGCTTGCCTAAGGCCATACTACTGATAAGTAGCTGCCAATACTAACTAAACATCAGCCCCACTTTTACACCAATGTGTCTCAGTAGTGAATATAATTTAATATTTTGGTTATGATTAGGAAAACCCTTTGAAATCTTACATTGCCTAAAATACAGGTGATCATTGTTGTTGTCTTCTGATACAAGAGTACTGAATAAGAGACAGGAGTATGACTTTAAGAACCTGTTTTAGAAATTATTTCTTTCAAATAAATCCATGATATGAGCATTTGCCAGTTCTCCTCCTTTTTATGAAATCACAGGTTCTTGTTATTTATAAGTCGGAGTTCATAATGGTATATACATAATAAATACATGAAGCTAATGTTTGCCTGTACCAGTTCTGGGCTCAATATACATATTAACATAGGTAATTTTTTTAGATGTTGTCAGTCACTGTGTTAAATTTTTTACATGTTTTACTTCATTCAGTCACAGCCACCATCTCGTTATCCCTGTTTCATAGATAAGGAACACTGAGGCGAGGGGAGTTTAAGCAACTGTTTAAGGTCATACAGCTAATGAGTGATGGCACTAGTTTGAACAGCCTGACTGAAAAGACATTTCAGTTTCCACTGTACACTATATTAACTGAAGAAGTAGTAGCCACAATCTGGTGAAATTGCTGTTGGGTCTCTCTTCAGTCTCTCTTGGGAGCTAGGCTGCAGAGATCTGTGAGGTGCCGAAGACCTGAAGACTAGCTGAGGATGAGTGTGCTTCAATTTTGTCCTCATAGGAATATTCTGACTACGATTTATTTTTGTAAAAGCCAGTTTGGTTGTGATTTCATGGAGAGAGTTTTCTAGGAGCATAGCCCGGGCCAGCGTTGATGTGAGGATAAGTTCTTTCCCAATTTGGACTTGTAACTGCTTCCAGGATCTGTTAGTGAAAACAGAACTGCTCCTGTCCGCCAAGGGAAGTGTTGTCAAATTGTGTTAAAAAACGTGAAGGATAAAGTGAGATGGTCCAACACTTGTCTATCCAGAGTTCCAGAAAAAATAATGGAATGGAGGACAGGGAATATTTGAAGATAAAATGGCTAAGAATTTTCTAGAATTAATGGAAAGGTTATAGATGAAAAGATTATATATGAGTTAAATTTAAGGATACCAATAGCTGGTAAACAGTATTGACACTACTTAAACAAGCTGAATAGAGATCTAGGTTCAGCTTTAATAATTTTTTTTTTTTTTTTAAATACGGTGTAGTCCATACACTAGACGTGAGTACAGTGCCAAGGGAGACATTGATTGCCTCAAGGGAGAGGAGGGGGAAGTTGTTAAGGAAACAGTTCCTGCCAACAGGATTGGGTTTTGAAAAAAGATCACTTAGTAGACAAGAGTCAGGGATAAAGAGTGTTGCAGAAGAGGGAATAGCAAATGAAAAGTCAAGAATGCCAAAACAAAACAAAACAAAACTTTGGTTCTGAGGAATGACACTTTACTTTTGCTATATGAAAAAGGTATACTATTAACATATGTAAGAAGTTCTGTAGAAGATGAAATCTGTTTTTCACAGGGAAAATGCCCTATCAATTTCTAGCCTCGTGGAAAAAAAATGTAAAAGTTTCATCTAGTTTCCTCTGTATTTGGTCTCATTTAATGACAAAATACTTCTTAATATGACCGGTTACATTTTTCCTAGTGTCTTTTTAAACCATTTTTTGTTGTTGTTGTTGTTGTTAACAACTCCATGAACTTACTGTTGTAACATTGTTGTAAAGGAAGACTTCCTTTTTAGAATAACATTCAGTTCTTTATCATCTTACATTGGAATACAAACTCAAGTGTTGAAAAATTAATCTCTTCTTTCAGCATCTTCTCATTTACCAGTTACATGGTTCATCTGTGTCATTTAAATACGAGTCCTGGTTTATGTTTTTAGCATAAATATTAATATTAGTACCAACTCAATCTCTTTCGTATGTACTGGGCCCTATTTTATCTGTTGGAGAGTTTCCTTATGTAAAATGTTTAAGTACATAATGAATGGTCCTGGAAAAGGGCCTGATACTGTATTATTATCCTTATATAGACTATTATTTTTTATTGTGTTTTCTAGCCAAATTTGTCACATTAGATTCTTACCAGCTCTTTGCTTTTACTGGCTCTTATAAACAGAGTGGTTGCAACATATATTTAGTATCTTGATGAATAAAGAGACCCTGTGACTTTACTGCCTATCATTGCTATTTTGGGGTATAACAGGTGGGTGACTGTTGGAGAAGAGGCATATATGTGTGGTTGGGGTGAGGAGGGAGGATCCTTATGTGGAATGGACACGTGCTAACACATTGGTGAAGTTGTTCCTTTTGTGCCCACTTAAGGCAGCAATCAGGATTAGATCTTCTATGATGTTGTGTTTCTAAGACCATCTGAATACTGGGGATAGGTCTGTCACTATTTATTTTGGAAAAGTTGTCAATTTATTTAGTTGTGGTGTAATATATAGCAAGAGAGTGCCTTGGAAACAGAACACTTTAAATATACAGGATTTTTTTTTCTTCTTCTCTCAGGATTCCACAGCCTAGTTCCTTAGTGACTGGGTGTATGTTCATGTGTATGTGTAATAACTACATGAATGTGTAGAGTTGGGGGAGTTGGGGAAGGTATGACTTCTATAGTTTGATCAGGGCTTTATACCAAAAACTTACAGAGGCATTCCCTTTAAATTCGGGAAAAGACAGAGGTGCCTTCTCTTACCACTATTGTATGATATAGGACCAGAGGACTTTAGTCAGTCCTATAAAGAAAGAAAAATTGGAGCTAATAGCATTGAAAAAGAAAAGATAACAACTATCATTTTATGATCATCAATCTAGAAGAACCAATAGAATTCAAAAGGCAAACCATGTAAGTGTAAATCATGGTTGCTAGTTACAAGATAAACCTAGAAAAACAGCATTTCTCTAACCAGCAATAACCACCTGGAAAATATCATTAAAATATATTGTTCAAAATGGCAACAATATCCACGAAGTATCTAGAGCACACTTCAAAACTCTGATAAATACAGAAGAGGATCTGAATAAATGGAGGCATATCATGCCCTTGCATGGAATGACAGTATTATAAAGATGTCACATTTACTCCAGTGTTTTGAAAACCCCCAAAACTTACTCTAGCGTTTATATGGAGGAATAAAAGTCTAAATAGCTAAGTTATCTTTAAAGATGATTAGAGGGCCGTTCCTACTGAATATTAAGGCAATGTTACAAGGCTGGTGCTATTGTTTTAAAGTGGGTGTTGGTTTAAGAACATTCAAATAAATGGAAGGAATAGAGATTTCAGAGGTAGACAATCTACAAATCATTGGGGGAAAGATAGAGTTTTGGTGGATAATGCTAGGGAAAATATTCATTATTTGGAGAAAAATAAAATCCTTACCTAACTACATATAAGGGTGGATTCTAGATGGATTAAGATGTAAATATGAGAAAGGTAAAACATTATAGAGTTAAGAGGACGTGTAGGCAAATAATGACCTAGGGATGGGTAAAACCCTGAAACAAAATTTCATAAAGCATAAAGCCATAAAGCAAACTAAACCAAGGAAAGATGAATTTGATCACTTCAAAATAAGGATCTCTGTTCAGTGAAGGGCATCCCAAAGTTTATATATGATAGGATGGGAGAAGATGGTTGCATTGTCTGTAACCAACAAGGGATTCGTACCTTGAGTATGCAAATCAACAAAAGGGCAGTAACCCGTTTAAAAAGAAAAAACAAAATAGGCAAAAGCTATTGGACAAGCTATATGAACAAGCTAACAAGGATACAGAGATGTTCAAATTAATAAAATAATTGCAAATTAAGTACTGACATATCACTGTACACTCATTAGACTGGCAACAAGTAGTTAGAAAATTGGAACATGCTGAGTATTGGTAGGAATGTGGGGACACAGGGACTCCTATGCTTTGCTTCCAGGAGTATGGCCTGGTATGGCCATTCTAGAGAGAAATCCTAGTACTGAGTCAAATTGAGGGTCCACATACTCTGTGTCATACTACTTCTGCCCTGAGATATATCCTGCAGAGATTCTCATTCAGGTCCGTAAGGGGACGTGTGTTCATTGAAGTGTTATTTGTGGTGATGAATAGCTGGGGGACAAGGTGAATGTCTCCACTGGGAGAATAGTGGAGGTCAACTCAGGTGGGTATACATGTGGAGTCTTAGGCACCAATTAGGAGCTACTGATTAGATGCACACATAGGAACATGCATGGTTCTTAATAAAATAATGCTAAGTGAAAAAAGAAACAAAGTGAAATATAAAAAAATTGAAAATAGATGAATATACAAATACATACTTTGAAAGAACAAACAAACAGTAAATAGAATAATTGCCCTATGAGCCGAGAGGAAAATGGGAGCTGGTTAAGTGGATTAAAAAGAATAGAAAAATGGAAGAATACAAAATAAAAAGGAATAAAGACTTCTTGAAAAGTTTTACTAATGATCTTTTAAACCTGAGTTGGATGGACTGATAGGAAGATGAGGAAAACTAATTTTCCATATAGTAACTATCGTGTTTTCCCAATTTATATAGGGTGGAAGCTTTGAGAGAAGCAGCAACTGCTGTCGAGCAAGAGAAAGAAATCCTCCTGGAAATGATTCACAGTATCCAAAATAGCCAAGACATGAGGCAGATCAGCGACGGTGAGAGCTGTTTCCACAGATGGGGACTTCCCATTTATGCTCCTTTAAGGGGTTTATAAGTGTGGCGCAATTTTTCCTTGACTTGTGGTATGAGTACGCTAAGTTTTAGCCGTTAATGTTGGCAGCAGGCAGAAGCTGCAGCTGTCAGTTTATTACAAGAGCCACTGACCCAGAGATTGTACTCCATGCCGAGGTCGGGGCTGGAAGTGATAGAAAAAGGCCTTCAAGCTACTTTGGCAGAAGAGCTGACCCCAAGCAATAAGACCAAGCATTTGACCTCAGGTTCACATTCTAACCTCAGTTCTTTAGAAGTTCCTAGAATGTAGAAGATGTAAAAGCAGAGGGAAAAGGTGAGAGATTGGAAGCAGAGAAGTAAAGACAAGAGATGAATTGATGTGTAACTTAGATGAAGGGGAAAAAATGCAGAGAAAATAAATTATAGACCCAGTAAAACCCCATTAATGGAAAAATGTGCTATCATTTTCTTGCAAAAAGCAAGACTGCCTATGGAGGAACAGGTCATGTGATTTTCTTTCATTGGCAGTGGACTTTTTAATTTAGCTGCTTTGGTGCATTATAGGACAAACTAGTGGGCCAGGTAGCTGGTGTGGTAAGTGTGCAGTCTAACTCCACACCCAAACTGTTACATGGGGTCAAGATCTAGTCTGTCTCTTCACCATCCTGGCCAAAGATAAATTAGGAAGGAGGTTGCAGAACAGAACAAATAGATTGCTGAATTGTTCATGTAAATAAATAATGAAATGTTGACAGAGCCCTTTTCCCCATCATTGCCTTTTAGTGCTGGTCAAGACTTAGAGCACTGGCCATCTTAAATTTGTTTGGAGGGAGTGAAGTCAATGCCTAATTTTCGAGGCCAGTTTTTCTTCCACTATCATGACTATGTTTTCTCAGCCAAAATTGGGGGCATTGTAGTCTGATGAACATGCAGAATATGCCACCCCAAAATATCCCTCTCTGGCATAAGGATCGTTTTGGGCTGATTATTTTTGAGAAACTGCAGACACAGGAGCAGCTCTGAAAACAGAGCAGAAGTTACTTTTTTGTAAGGGTATTACATTTATAAATTTACATTTGCGTGTCTCCCTCTCTATACCAGGAAGAGGATGGTAAATCTTACCCTTGTTTACTGTGCTTTTCCTGGCAGCCTCCTGTAACTGGCTTCCCTCTCTCCCCAACGTCTTTCTTTTGTCTTTAGCTGAAGATAGTATTTAAGGCAGTGGTTTGGGCCATCTCGGAGTTACTCAGTTTCTCACATATATGTGAGAAATACATGTTAATAAATGTTTTTTTTTTCTTGTTAATCTGTCTCTTATTACAAGGGTTCTCAGATAAGAACTCAGATAGAGGGAAAATTATTTTTCCTCCCCACATGCGCATCCTTATAGAGAGATCCAGAACATCTAAGCAGCACAGAACTCTGGTTATGCTCACTGCTCACTCTGTGTTAATTATGCATAACTGCACAAACTTTTGCAAACTTACAACTAAGGAAGTCATCTGGTCTCCCATGTATGAAGACTTTCAGGGAAAAGTATTCTACAGCCTCTCTGTAATCCAGTACATTTCATCAGTTCATTTCATATGCTATAGTTTTAACTCTTACCCTTAAAAAATGCATAGCAGGGGTGATTACAGAAAACAGACTTAGCCACAAATGAATACCTTAGTGTTCTTGACACTGTTAGGGAAGGAATTTTCTCTACCTTTCTAGATTCTTTCGGCTGGTCTAATAATTAAATTGACATGAGACAGATTAATGAGGAAAATAACCAAATTTAATTACACACGTACATGTGGTAACCCCACATACTTGAAAGAAAGGTAGAAGCAGATTGGAAAAATGAGGTATATGTGACAATGTGAGCTAAGGAATGAGGTAAGGCACCTGGGGCTTCAGAGGGCCTCGAGGAGGGAGATTTGTAGGATAAGAGCGGATGTTCAGTAATTCGAAGTTTGCTCTGCCCTATGGATAGGTCTTAAAAAGCTTCTCTGGTAACCACTCTTGTTATAAGCAAGACCCCTAACTTAAATTCTTTAAGGGAGAGACAAAAGTTTTTGTGAGCGCACAGTTCTAAATCGCCTTCAGCTCAAAATAATTCACATGCCAGAGTGGCACATCTTGGAGAGGCCTGTTCTGAACCCCTTCAACATAGGTAAGTTTATGTATCATATTGATTGATATTTCAAACTTTTTATGTTTAGGAGAAAGAGAAGAATTAAATATAACTGCAAACCGTTTGATGGGACGAACCCTCACTGTTGAAGTTTCAGTAGAAACTATTAGAAACCCTCAGCAGCAAGAGTCCCTAGAGCATGCCACCAGGATTATTGATGAGGTGGTCAGTAAGTTTCTGGATGATGTGGGAAATGCCAGGAGTCACCTAATGTCGCTCTACAGTGCATGCTCGTCTGAGGTGCCACCTGGGCCAGTTGATCAGAAGTTTCAATCCATAGTAATTGGCTGTGCATTGGAAGATCAGAAGAAAATTAAGAGAAGATTAGAGACTCTGCTTAGAAATATTGAAAATTCTGACAAGGCCATCAAGCTGTTAGAGCATTCTAAAGGAGCTGGTTGCAAAACTCTGCAACAAAATGCTGAAAGCAGATTTAATTAGTTTTCAAACCTGAGAGCACTTAGAAATAATGGCATAAAAATGATAAAATACTATTTTAGGTGATAACTAGTTCTTTATGTTAGGCGTAACCACTCATTTGATACTGAAAGTTGTTTCAGATGATGAAAATATTCCAGTGTCATCAGTTTTGTGTATAACAAAAGTAGAAATATTTTATCTTTCTAGAGATTTTTAGATTGAATTCTTGTCTTGTACTAGGATCTAGCACCTAATCTACATGTTTTTTACTATTCTGTGGATGAATACTTTGTATGTAGGGGCAAGTGCGTGCTCAGCTAGGGGGTAAAAAAAGTATCACTGTTCTTTCCTGGGCTTTGTCTGGTGTGGAGACACGTGGGCATGTGGGGCATGTGGTTGACCAGAAATTCTTTACCTTAAGCAGCAGCACACACTTCACATCTAGTGCTGGCTAAGCAGTGTGCTTAGAGGAATAAAAGGAATCATACGATAAGAACCTTTCTCAACATCTTCTCATTCAGCAGTTTAAGACATCTGTATCAAATTACCTGAACTTAAAAGATTTATGCATCTCATACTATATTTCTTCATATACATGAAAACATGACAAAATTCACGTCTGATTTTACCACTGTCAACTACATATCTTTTTCCAGATGCATCATTTCTCTAAAATTTTAATCATTATGTAAATATGTTGTAACTTGCCTTTTTAAAAAAAAAAAAAAAATTAAATGCTGCTATAAAGTGTGCTTAATTGTCAACTTAAAAATCTCTTACTTACCCATTCCCCCTACTGGACACTTAGGTTTCCAATTTGTTGCTATTACTGCATATGTACCATTTATGTACATAGAGCTTTTTCTTTCTTTTTTGATTTTCTTTGTATAAATTCTCAGCAGTGAAATTTACTGGGTCAAGGGTATATACATTTTCATGTCCTGACATATTTACGTTTTTTTTTGTATGAGTTGTCTTCAATAATTAAAATGTAGCTATTTCACTGAAAGCTTTCCAGCATTGAGCTTTATTTTTTCTAACATCAGATATGAAACACTTTTAGTTTGTGTTTTGTTTACCAATAAGGTTGACTAATGTCTTGATTCTTTTATCTGTGATAAATGAAGCAACTATAGAGTACTTTTATTTATTATTAGTTATTGATACACAAAACCCTCAATTTTCCCAAATACTACTGCAAATGAATATATCAAACTCAGTTTTTATTATTCTTTTACACTGGAAAAAAATTTAAGATCCAGGTTGGTTTTATATATTTATATGTATATTTCTAAATGCAGTATGGAACTTTGTTTTCTGGACAAAATGCCTAATTACTCTATCATAAAAAGCAATTACAATCTAAGGACATTCATGGTTGCTTTACCAGCCCCAAGTCATTCATGGGAAACACTGATTCTCATTGATAACATTGGCAAAGGCTCTTGATTTGTCAACAGATTCTGTTTTATCGTCATCAGATTCACTGTCAGATAAGGATTTTTTGTGCCATCTTTTTATTGGCTTTTTGAAAATTAAACAGACAACCAAGTTTTCCTCATGTTCTCAAGGAGTCAGTATCTGCAGATCCCTTCTACTCAGGGAAATACTATCCCCTTCCATTTACACTGCATCAGGACTTTTCCTACCACAAACTATTCCGACTCTACCTCCTCAACCTTTGTATTCTTTTGCATTGTTTGTCTCATTTTTTCACTGGAGTTTACTGGAGGCCATTCCCTATCAGACTTCTGTAGCTGTGATCTGTAATATCCAAGCTGTTTCAGTTCCTGGTCTGCCAGCCTCCAGCCCTCTGTACTTCTTTCCAGCTACAGCCGCATTCAAGGGGCAGTGACCTCAATGTGTTGATTCTAAGAACTGAAGTGTAATTTTTAAGAACTGAAAATTTAAGAACAAAGTGTAATTTTTCTTCAAATGATGAACCCCCAAGCGTCACATTTTTACCCTCATTTAGGTTGTCTTTTATAGAAGTAATAGAGTGGGATCGTAAGGGAATTCAGAGTATATGTTTTCTTGATACATTACATTCCCTAACAACCCTATCCCGATTTCATACCATTTCTAGAATGTAGTGTAAAATTTTAGGGCAACGCTTTTGCCATCTCATGAGCATGGCTACCCAGTAGTGTTCCCATCCCCACCCTGGCTCTTCTAGTGCAAAGCTAGCAGGACCTGCAGAAGAGCTAACAGAAGAGCACTCCATGTTCATCAACTGAGGACAGAGTGACACTGCTGCCTTATTAAAAATTTGACAAATGTAGAATTGTCCCTCCTAGTATTATTCTAATGTAGGAATTCCTGACATTGAAGAAGAAAAATCCCTAAAGTTTTCAGATGGATAAGAATAGTAATAAACGGGAACTGGTGGTGGCTTCCCACTGTGCTTCCCTCCCAGTACCAGTACTGCATCCTCTAGGGGGCACCCCATTCACAATGTATTCTTTATGAAGGGAGTACACCCTTTAGTAAAACATTAGCCAAGTGAGGTATTTTGCAGAGGGATACAATAAATGCAGGCATGGTCTTTTGTATTGGAGCTCAGTCTAGTACCCTGATTCAGAATGCTCAGAATTCATCCTGAAGAGGTGATAGAGAACTTTGCTTCAACATTTTAAAATTGGAAAGCATGAGAGAACTGAACAACCACTGAAAGTAGCAGAGTCAGGATCTGACCAATGAAAGTAACACACAGTGATTTTTAACTAGGAAACATCTATGCATTTGTCCCTTTCAAATGTTGATTGTGATAAAGCTAATACTTCTGGAGTACATATATGTGATCATGCTTTTTGAAAGCTGGGTTTTACAATTATTCAAAAAAAATGGAAAGTAAAAGCTGAGAATTTTGGAAAAGGCAAGACAACAAGCACAGCAGTAAACTTGAACTTTTTGTGTCTGTTCACAACAAACAAGCAAAATGAAATGGACTTTCTGCTTAGGGACATAACCATGTTAAGTTTTTAGTCATGAACTAAGAGTAAACAACTTGAACGGGACCACACAAATCTTTTAATCATTCACCTCAGACCAGTAAATATTGTAGCAAATATGCTTCCTTTGCATATAGTGGGCATTTGAATCACTGTGACAGTCACACATTTGGTGAGGGCCAATTACAGTATACAGCCCAGCTTTAATACGCCGTATTTCAAGGGGGACCAAAACAGGTTAAGCGGGGCACAATTGTGCAGGAATTGACAAAATATGTCAGGAAAGATCGAAAAACTCAGAACTGGAAAACTGACCTAGCATTTGGATCCAGGGAGTATTACAAATTCATTTCCAACTGTAATCATCAGACCTCAGGGACAAAGATAATACAAGGCCTGTGACAAAACAAACCACACAGGCAGTGTGTTAAGCTTCGCAGCAGGAAGACCTGGCGCAAGCTTCCAGCCCCATCTCCTACCAGCAGAGGGCCCAGGGCACAACCCTGCCCTCCCCAGCAGTAAAATGGTGGTGATAATGCTCCTGTGAATTGAGATACGCCACGCAAGGTACTTAGCATAATGGCTAACATAGAAAGCACTTGTTAAATAAATCTGAACTACATTTTGTACCACAGGACAAAGTAAATGTATTAATTCACGGGGGTGGGGGGCTTGGAGGTGGACAGAGACTCAAAACAACACAAAAATTTTTTTAAAAACAGACTGATACAGAATTAGAAAAGAAACTTAGTTTCCAGGGCAAAATACTTAAACCACAGTGCTACTAAGTTGCATGAAATATCCACTATCAATAAAACAAGGATGCTAAATACTGGCAGAGTATCTGAAATATGAAATATTTTTAAGTTATTTTGATTCTTAAAGAAGTCATATTATACCTTTTACTGTTTGGTTCCACATTGGTGATACATTATCATACAAAATTCTAGCTATGAAATGCATTTAGTTTTTGATTACTGGAATTCATCTTCATGAAATTTTTATGTAGTATATTTTAAATTAAACTCAAGGGCTTAACTGTAACTCAATAGCAATACTTACAAGTGGTTTTCCATTCAAATTTGTAAAAGCATTATTTAATAGTAATAAAAATATAGAAGGGGTTCAGGTTTTTTTAATCTAAAGTTTTTATTTTTAAGACTACTCACCAACATTCTGCTATAGATAATTCAAGAGAGAAGAAAAGGAGCACTACTTAATAAAGGTTATTACAGCCAAACCATCCAGTTACCTGGGAGTTAGGTGATTGGATATATCAGAGTCCACTGTGGTTTTAAATATTTGTTAGCAAATAAATTCACCTGTATGATAGGCTTACATGTTTTAGGGTGTAAACCTAAAGAGAAATGTACACATGGTATTTATGACTAACAGTTAAAACTGAATAAATCTGTTCATTAGATTGACTCTACAGTGTGGGACAGATTTTTACAGTTTTCAGAGAAACAGATACCCAAATAATATAGTAAGTGGAGCATTTCAGCAAGTTACCAGTAACTGTTTCAAAGGTTTTGAAAAGGACATTAACTACCATATTTTACATTAAAGCAGTTCACTTTAACTTGGAACATTCGGTCCTGAGGTCTGTTTCCCATTGTAAGATCTTCAAAAAAGATCCCAGCTCCTCAAAGGCACAGGCACAATGGAGTGTGTTGAGAGTTCTTTCTAAGCACTGCATTGCCAACTTCTGAAGCAACCGTCTCACTTCACTCCACAATGAGGAAAAGTGTTCATTCTTTTTTTGTTAGTGTCAGTTTTACTTTATTTTGAAAAAGTACATGTGTGCTATAAACTTTGGGCAGATGAAATGGAAACCATTTAGCCTGGTTTTATTTAACTATGTTGCCTATTATGGGGTATTCTGTATGCTATTTAATTCAATAGGGAAACTGAAAGGAAAAGGATACCTTAGAAACTTTGAAATATTACAATTATTCCACAGCTATACATCTGTGTGCTAAAAATTAGTTATAACGCAAAAAAGTACATTAGAGCACAAATGCACAACATCCTGGAGTCTTAGACAAGTTTTCTTTAGCAACCACAGTTCATTAAAAATTAACAGAATTTTAAAAGTGTCAAGGGAAAAAAAAAATTAATGTCAATTTAGAAGGTTTTATAATTAAGTTGTGAAAGTATTTAACATATCACCTGTGGCTGATTTTCAAGCCTACTTATTTTAAATGATTAAGGTTAAATTTAAAATACAGAAGAACAAATTAAAAATTTAAATGTATAACAAAGATCTCTCTTCAGTTTTTATAAAGGGAAAAAAGGACAAAACTAAGTACATAAAATTATATTACAAATATCAGAGGAATTGCAACCATCATCAGATTATTACATTGTTTATATATAAAAGTAACAAACTTTTACCCACACATTTAATTAATATGAAATAGAACTACACCATAGAACATAATGTGATTTTTCTGTTACTAAAGACTATTTGACGCCTACTAAATTTTGTGCAAAAATTAAAAAGACTGTATGTTTCAGGAGAGTAGAAAAGGAAAGATGAATCACTAGCAGGTACCCATTGTGAGGAACTGAGTTTTTCCCCAACATCTATCCCACTGCCAACAATGGGAGTGGTGACAACTGGTGACACAAAAATAAACATTTTGTATTACTTTGAAATAGATAATGCCAGATTATTTCAATGTTATGAAAAGCAAACATCCACTCTTGACCACTTAACAAAGACATGCCCCCGAAAATTCTATTAGGTTCTCAACATTAATCTGGACAGAAGTATGAGAGTGGTATAGATGGAAGACTTCAAAAAAAAAAAAAAAAAAAATTCAAAAGGAATATATAAAACATGATGCATTTAGTACAATGAAAAAGGACTTTGACACATTTTCCAAGAAAAGTTATTTTTACATATTTTGAAATCCTGTAAAAACCAGGTAATCAGTTTTAACAGAGTTCATGCAATTATCTTAGAAAGCTATTGTCCCAAGTCACAAAATTTATACCCTGCCACATGATTACATATTAAAAAAGAAATTATTTTGTATCTGGTCCTGACAGAGGTCTTGAGAAAGTGCTATACAAACCAAAGGTTATAGAAATTTTTAAGTGATAATCTTAAAATACCATACAAAAATGTGTAAACAAAAAGATGCTTTACAGTTGTAGGGCATTATAAAATCCATAATGTGGATTATGACAAAAGATCATCTCTGTGCATTTAAAAACATTGTTAGCATAACCCTAAAAGTTCAAAATTGCATCTTCAGTCAGCAGCAAAAGTGTTAGATGCCCTACCACACTTCACAGGTCCTAAGGAATAACTGCAGATGTGCTGTGTATCTTCTTAAGGACTTGGCCAGCACAAGCTCACCATGCTTATGGATGAACATACGAAAAAGATCTGCAACAAGTCTCACCTGAGAGAAACTCTAGCATTAAACCATTTATACTCCTCTTTTATCTACCCTGTCAGAGAGGAAAACTGCTTTTAAAAGATATTATAAGCAATATAAATTCTGATAGTAAAGCACTGTAAAAATTAGGTATGGTACTTTTGGCACAAAGCACTTTTTAATCGCATCTCCTTTGCAAAATATGTCTGGAATTTCTTATTTGAAAATAAAAACTTTTAACATACATACGATGTGTAAATGGTTCAATGAATGAATTAATTAGATTCTGTTTCCTTAAACACTGCGCACACCTTCAGTTTACTTCAGTACCAGATATCTGCATGCATACCTCCACATTCCACATTATACAGATATTGCACAAGTAACATTGCCAAAATACACACCAATGCAGTCTGACAAGATTTAGGGTTTACCATTCAATATTATTTTTTTTAAGTATTTGGATTCAATACTATTTTCTAGAAAAGCTAGATGACCCATTTCAGAAAAAGAATGCTTGCTATCTTTCCTTTACCCATAATAATAAAATCTGTACCAATATATTTAGGCATTTCATTTATGTTTTCCAGCATTTAAAATTCAGCAAAACCTGTTTTTGACATTTCTTACAGCATTCCTTCAAAAACAGGAGAAGCGTCGTCTAATGTAAAAAATTAAAATAAGTCCACAGGGCAGTAACTTTTCCACCAAAGATCTTACTCCATACTGAAAAGCACTGGCAAACAATATTTAAGTCTGTCAACTTTCAGAGAGCCATTAGGTGCAAAGTCTGCTAAAAAATTTGTAACATCATGACAGCTGGATATAGCTCTTACTGAATTGCACAATATAGTCAATCCTTTTCTTCCCTAAACATTTTAAGGTATGCTACAGCTGCTAAAAGGATTTCTGTTTTTCTTGGTCCTCTGTTTGTTGGGTCTAAGATTGATGACATCTCCACCATTAAGGGTACTTGAATTCTGACCCAAGTGACTTCCACCAGATGTATTAAAGACACCTGTATAAATTGAGGGAAAACACACAGATTGACACTGATACGCTTCAAGGTTACAGGAGACTGTGCATCTGGTTTCTTAGTAAATCAGAAATATTTTCAAGTATTTACAAATTTAATACAATTTTGCTTTCATTTATTTTTAATAGCCGATACAGATAGTTCAAAGTTAAAGGATACAAAAGGAGTTACAGTGAAGTCTCCCTTCCATCCTTAGCCATCCACCCCGTGACAGTTTCCCTCCCGCAAGGCATGGATGTTTTGTTTCCCTGTGTATCCTTCCAGAGTTATTTTACATATATGTAGACAAAAATGTATACATACTCTTCTTTTCCTCCCTTTGCTACCCAAATATGACTTACTCTACACATTGTTCTGCATCTTTTCATTAACAATCTGTTTTTGAAATTCTGTATCAGTAATTACAATAATTTTAATAATTTCACTTATTAACTTTACATCATCTAACTTCCTCAAGAATACCTTATTTGTAGTTAACAGTATTTGTGAAATTTTATATGAATTAAAAATACTGCAGATGTAAAAGCTGGTAGTAACATACGACTTTCCTGTCTAGGCTAGAATAACACAGAATGGTCTACAGATAATTAAAGTCATGAGTAGATAAAAGGGATGAACTAAAGAAAGACTTTTAACTTTTATAATTTCCATTTTGAACTCTGCTGGTCTTAAAATGTAAAATCCAATTAACGAGCTATTTATCATCCATGATACGAAAACTCTGGGCCAGAGACACTATAAACAATATAAAGGTGACTAAGACCAAATCCTGTCCATGAGAAGTTGACAATCTCAAGTGCGGTGAGTTAGTATACAAACAAGTAATGCTCTAAGACGTTATATGTTAAGTGCATTAAAGACACACAAGATCCCACATATGGTTCAAAGGAAGGACTGATTACAGCTAATTCATAAGAAAGGATGAACTACATGAAGAAGGTGGAACTAGACACTTGGCAATGTCCTGGACTTAGATTAGATCTCTCTTTGTTTAGAGGAAAAGCATGAGGTTCTTGCTTGAGCCAACTATATAGCTGAGAGAGCTTTCTAGACAGTCACTGAGGAATGAATAGTTCTTTGACAGAGGATGGGAAGGGAAGTCATTTTTGATGGAAGAAATGAAATGAGCAAAAGTGAAGAAGACAGACAGCACTGGGCATGCTCAAGAAAGAGCAAGACCTCTGGTGGAACCAGTAAATGGGTATACATATAATAATGAGGCACAAGGCCGCATAGGAAGGACAAATGGTCTTTGGATGTTGTAATGAAGAGAGCCTGTATTCAATATATCCTACAGTGAGAATCAATATACCTTTAGTAAGAGAGCTGATACTCCTAAATTTACTAATTTCTGACCTAAAACTTTATAATTACGTTTCTTAAAAAAATGAGCATATTGTATAAAATATTGTAACTATGGTAATAATGAACAGAAAATCAATTTACCAGGTAAACATGGTTCTAAAACTTCCTGGGAACTTACCAATTTTGTTACTACTTGAATGCATTGATTCTGGATCCTCAGCTATTTGTTGTTTGAGTTTCTGAAGATATTTTTCAGCCAAATATTTAAAAACTAGAATAAAAACAAAAACGAAAACCCTAACCAGGTCAGTATGATTTATACATATAAAATCTGTTATTTCAATTACTTAACTATATTTATACTTACTAAACGAATTTAAAATTGAAATAGAATTAGAAGTATACGATCTAATTGAAAAAATTCAACTTTAAAAATGTGTTTGAGCAATACCTAAGTACAATGGCAATAAACATATAGTGGCATTAGTAAAGAAATGAATAATATTTGTAGTCATTGGCTCTTTAGTTTTAAGTAATAGTAAATAGTAATATTCAACAACACAAATGACTCAGTCTTAAAAAGATGTCTCCTTTCTATAGGTGAAAAAAACTATCCAGAAGACATCTCAACAACAACCAGGTTGGAATTTAATAAAATTAAGTAACAATTGTGGAATGAGAAAAATAACAATCATCTTTCTCTAATATCACTTTCTTGAACTAGGAAGTCTTATTAAACAAATTAAGGTCATTGTAACTACCTAATGGAATATCCACTACTGTGAAATTCTAAAACAATTCAGTAATTTTAAGTTATGGATGAAAAACACATACAAGCATACTCACTTACACAGTATTTTATTTTTAAAGACTAAAAAAAAAAAACAAGTTTTTTTTTTTGCTGTAGAGTAATAAGTGTTCTAAGACATTAGTAAATAAAGACTAACTCAAAGATGATACCTTTAAATTTTACTTAATAAGTAACAAGAAAATTCTACTTTTATTAAAAATGTTTTCTAAACAACACAATAGAAAAAACATAATAAGAATAAAACAAACTTCCTGTTAATTTTTTTAAAGGCAGTTTACCTTCATTCACATTTAGATCTTCTTTCACTGATGTTCTGTAGAATCTTAGCTTTAGCTTTTTTGCCAGTGCTTCAGCTTCCTCACTATATACATCAATTAAAAAAAATGCTTATAAAGGTACTTTCTGGTAGTTTGTTTTAAAAAATCACTTTTATTACATTTAGTGAATACAGCTTGGGGGTGAGGGATGTCAGACATTCCAGACTGGTTAAAGCTATGTTCTCAGTGCTTGAACAGGATTTTTAGTTTTCACCACTGTTGGGGGATAAACACCAACCATTATACTGTAACTGTAAAGTCACTCAACTCTAGCCTTAAAATATCTAAATATCACTTTTTTAATATAATACTTTAATTTCCTCTCCTCTACTTTTAAAATCTGAATTGAACTCTGAAAAGCATATACTGACATTACTTATTTTACTCTTACTGGCTCTGAAACTACTTTGCTGCCGAAGGCAAAGTCAGTACATTAATGACTGTGTCTACAAAAGTGGACTCCTCATTTTAGTTTTATTATGACTTCTGACTGTGGACACCTGATTTTATGAACACTGTAGTAGTAGCTATGCTCCAAAATGGTTCCCAATGATTCCGTCCCCCACCCCTCCTTCTGGCTTCATACCTTTGTGTAGTCTCCTCCCACACTGTAACCAGGGTTGGTCTGTGTAATCAATAACACACAGAAGTGATAGTATATTACTTCTGAGACTAGGTCATAAGAGACATTGTGGCTTCTGCCTTGCTCTCTCTTGAATCACCTGCTAAGGCAAGCCAGCTGCCATGTTGTGAGAACACTCAAGCGGCCCTAGGGAAAAGTCCACAGGGCAAGGAACTTTGGCCCCCTGCCAACAGCTAAGTGAGTGAACCATCCTGGAAGTAGATCTTCCAGCCCCAGTCAAGACTGTATGTGACTATAGGCCTCGCTGACACCCTGACTACAACTTCGTGAAAAACTCTGAACCAGAACCACCACCAAGCCACTCTAAATCCCTGACCCACAGAAACTGAAATAATAAATGTTTGTTGTTTTAAGTCACTAAGTTTTGGACTAATTTATTAACAGATAACATAACATAAAACAATAAAGTAAAAGCCAAGCAAAGATTTTCAAAGCTAGCAAGACGTTAATAATACAAAGAGCAAATACTAATAGAAAGAAATTATCTAGATGCTAAACTTCATTCACAAATTTGAGCATAACAGTTCTGAATATTCAAAACAATATGAATCTGAACTACTTATCTTTAAACTCATCAACATAAGATAGCTACTTATTCTAGACATTAAAACATCTAGGGATGTTTTTCTTAACATTCTTACTAAATTTAGATTTGACTTAACATGAAGAATTGGATTTGTGGTGCAAGGATGTAACACTAGAATTCTAAAAGGGCATTCAAAATTTATTCCTTTAATTTTCTATACCTTTGCTTCGGTATGAACATGTTTAAAACCAAACCAATCACTCAGAATAGCTCACAGAAACTTTAAGTATAAGGCAGTCTTTATAAAAACTTCCCTAGGTTTCTAATGTCTATGCAAAAGTTAAAATAGGTTTTAACTTTATAGAATTATTACCACCCCCTCAAAAGTAACTATCTTACTTCTTTATACAGGAATCATCCAAGAGATCAATCTTGTTTTGTACAAGTACAGTTGGTATATCTCCAACTTCAGCTACTACTTTCTCTCTCCAACTGGAAATTGCTTCAAAAGATTCCCTGTCTGTGGTAGAAAATACAAGCACACAAGCCTGGGCTCCTGTAAGGTCATAAAATAAAAATGTTATTTACATTAATGAAACAATACTATGTAGGGTAAGGGCAACTTTTACCCATCAAAGCAATTTTTATGTAAATAAATGTTGAATTCATCTTTGTAGCACTCTGCTTATTTTTTAACATATAAACTATTTCCTAATCCAAAGAACCATTTTTTACCAAAAACAGTGGTTCTCAAACTTGTATAAGCATCAAAGTACCTCAAAACTATACATAATGTGTATGGAACACCCCGAAATACTGATATATTTAAATACATTGTAAGGGCTAGAGAGAATGGTAAACTAAGCATAAATGATAGGCTGTTGCCAAGTTCTTCCTGTTAATATTTGTCATTTGCTTCTTAATTTCTTTTCACACAGATCTAAGAAAAGCTAAGAGGAAAAAAATCATAATTTGCTCATTCTATTTACTTTTTTTTAAAAAAAAAATCTTATTATTTTATTTCGGTAGCAGAATAACAATGATGCTAACATAATTTAAGAACCAGTGCCGGGGGGGCGGGGAGAATACACACACACACACACACACACACACACACACACACACACATTACATATATATAATATGTATATATAAAAAACACAGAAGGAAAAAGTTTAATTTAGTTTTACCCTGTTTAACTGCTTAATTCTCATACTACACTCATTGATAATATTTTATCTATCAATTATCACATTAGGTTGATAAAATCTAAGATTAAATATAAGCAACCTTCTGGAAAAAGCTCTTTTATTAATGATTCACTGTTGAATCAGGCAGCATATTGACAAAAGCAGGTGTGTAGGCAACAAGAGAAAATTACACCAAGGTCAAGAGGATTTCCTAGAATCAAGGCATGTTTTCCTACTGTTGCCCCTTTCTTCCAGATCCCTTAGGTACAAGAATTTCCTACTAAGATTCAAGACATACATACCTGGGCTACCTAAGATACTCTAAGGCCAAAAAAGTTTAGTTTATCATCAGAGGGAATACTGTAGAAAGCATAAGAGCATATAAGAAAAGTGAAAACTGGCAGTTCACCATTACTGTAAAAGCAGAAGATTCATCTGGGAAAATCTTCCCTACTCTATACAGGTTTTAATTAATTATACAGAATTTGGAGGGGGATAAAAGAGAGACAGACAGACACACTCTAAGACCTTGTCAGAATTTAAGGAGGAATAAAATGGATAAGATTATACTAGTATATTGGTAAATAAATTTATATTTACTTGAATTTACTCTAATATTTACTTAAATTACAAATATTATTTAATCATTCTTTAACTTTTCTTTAACTAAGTTTTATTATACCACTATTTGTTAAATTTAAACCTAGAATTTTATGTCAATTGTCATTTAAATTTAAGGGCCCAATAGGGTATTTCCAGGAATACAAGATCTTAGACACTTAAAAAGTTTTTTTTCAAAAAAACCCTTAGAGGAAGTATATAATTTTTAAAAAGTGACTCTGGTCAAGATAGCAGAGTAAGTAAATGCTGTGCTCGCCTCCTCCCACGACCATGTCAAAATTATAACTAATTATAGAACAATTACCCTGGATAACCATCTGAAGACTAGCTGAACAGAACTCCCACAACTAAGGATATAAAGAAGAAGACACATCAAAACTGAAATATTAAAAAAATAATGTTACGACGATTAAAAAATAAAACAACCCAAACTATGCAGATAGTACTACAGATATGGGCAGCAAGAATGATGGCCTAATAAAAACAATGTTGAAAAAAATCAAGGATCAAAGGATAAAAGAAAGTGTCCATAACAACCCCAGGGGAAAAAGATAAAATATTGATATGTTTAAGTAATCAAGGGAGATAAATAAACCTGAGGTCCTACACTTGTCCCCTCAGCCTGATTTCACTACAGCTGTGGAGGACAGTTCCTGCCTGTTGCTAGTATCCTACCTCAAGCATATGCTGCACTTGGCTCCTGCTTTTCTGCCTCAGGGCTTTTACTGATATTTCAGAAAGAACCTTTGGTTTATCACATCCTCAAAGGGGAATTAATGCCTCTGGTGGGGAAGCTTCAACTTATGGGAGATGGGGTAAATACTGCAGCTTCACCTTGATGGGACCATCCTGAGAACTGTCTACATGGTTCTTCAGAAGAATTAATCCCCAATTGCCTACAGAAATAATGTGCTCATCACTACACCCTTTATGAGTTTTTCTCCCTCTTTCCTTGGTCTTTCACTTCTGCTTCTTGGGATCACCTCCCAAATATACCACCCCTATTGTGTGTATTTTAGCAGGGTTAGGGAGAAGAGGCTCAGCTGTGTGTATTTTAGTGGGGTTAGGGAGAAGAGGCTCAAACTAAGACATCAAGTGTCTTTAGGGCAATTGCCATAAGAATAAAGAAAGAAAGTGTGCTTATTAACCCACAGGGGAAAAGTAGACCTACCCAATGTACAAGAAGAAAGAAAATAGCAAAAAAACAAAAATAAAAAAAAAACAACTGCAGAAAATATAAAACCTGGACTAGATGACAGAAATAATTTATAACCAGAGAAATTACAATCTCTAGAAGGAGTGGTACAACAATCTGAAGCAGGATGGTTTACCTGATACTAAGCCTTCACATTGGATGCTATAACCACCTCATCTTATTTAACCTAAATATATTACCAGAATGAAACAAAAATACAAAAAACAGACAACCTGATTGCTTTTGCAGTTACATAATAATTCTGACAAATGCTGGACAACTACTTGTTTTAATTTCCCCGAGAAATTATCATTCATACATAGAGATAAAATACTGTCAAATTGTGATGCATATGGTTCTTTTATGTTTAGGAAAATCCTAAAAAGCACCCCCCCCCCTCAAAAAACCCTTTCAAATAAATATTAAAAGAACTTAAAAGAGGGCTCTTTTTTTTACTGAGGTATCAATAAAAGAAAGCAAATATCAGATTCAAGATATGTGGGAGAAGATCGTTATTTGCAGAAATTACAAAGGAAATAGCTATAAATCCTACACAATTCTGGAACTCCCTCAAGCACGTCAAGAATCTTTTTTTTTTTTTTTTAACAATTGAGAAGAGGGGGAAAGGAAGAAGATTTATAACAAATTTCTTTAGAGAAAGTACTATCCACCCCAGCCCTTCTCTCTTGAAAGTGAGGTGAGTGGAAAAGTGTAGTATCATTATCTCCTTCATCTCAACCTAGAAGGATTGGACTTCAGCAAGTACACTTAAGGAGCTTGATACGTGTTCCCAGCCATTGAGGGATACTCTGGACTCATCATGCCTTAATTCAACCCTGAGAAAGATGGAAGCAAGAGTGGAAAGACAGGCCAACAGATAAAAAGAGAACTGCATTTGGGAGCAACTGCGCTCCTATTGATAGCAAGAGAGAATGCACAAGAATTTCGTGTACGTAAAGGCGAACCATGTCTAAGAGACATGCCAGCATGGAGTCATTTTAAATCAAGTCCAACAGAGCCACTTACAGGGTGATGAGAGCTTAGCATAAAGAAGATGGAAATAGAATATTGACTCCCACAAAAGGGCAAAGCAACTTCCAGAATCAAGTAGACATTTGCCCAGAAGAACATCCCCAAGAATGGGAACCTTGGAGGAATCCAGGATGATTACCTAGAGAATCATCTTTAAACATCTGCCATCCAGAGGGTCCCACCATCAGACAACAAGAGCACCTACCACAGTGTTCTTGTCTCCCAATTTCTATTCCTGCAAGGCCTGACCCAGGAGAAAAAAGAAACATCTTTAGCAAGCCAGGAAGAAAGTGAGAGGAGGAAAGCAACCAATATTCTTTTCCCAGACCACTGGTACTGGCCTGCTAAAACCCCCAAAAGGTTAAGAGATTTAATGCTAAATTACATTGGAGTTTTGATTAATACACAGGACTGGTTATTCTAATTACCAAATTGAGATTATGTTCATGACTAGAAATAACTATGAGGCAGCTGAAAAAATTACTTGAGAGTGACCAGAAAAGGCATGAGCTGAAGGGAGTTTTCACTGAGGGTCAAGGAAAGGACTTCTCCTACTGCCTAATCAAATAAACATAAGGGATGGCAAGAGACAAAAGTTGCATTTTGTAACTTCATGAGCTGCGCCTGTTGAACATACCAACTATTATAAATATTCTTAATTCAAAAATGACCTTATACTGTTATACTTTTGTTTTCTTCTTTTAACCTCCAGTTCAGTGTTGGTACCCATGCCTTTAGGACAGTTAATGTTTTAACTCTTCTGTTGTAGTTATTTGGACATATTTACCTTTGATATTTAAAAGCAGGAGGTGTTTTCTATCCATATATCTCACAGACCTTTATTTTTTGTACTATTCAATTTTCCTTCGATACTACCTACCCTAAAAATCACACTGTTGGAAAGGTACTTCATCATAGATAATAGTAAACTACCCACAAAGGAGTCTCTAATAGTTAACAAGCTACTCGCTTATCCACTTATCAGGAATACAGAGATCAGAGTAAGTTTTTGGTGTCAATTATAAGATCACCAATAGCAAATATTTATTCCTAATTAATAAGATCATTAAAAAAATGTTACTATTTCTGAATGCAATTCAAAAAATACCCCCCAAGACACATAATTTGTAGAGAGTAATTCTGTCTTCAAATCACTGAAAGACCCTACTTGTAAGATGATCTCTAGACTTGTTCTGAGTATAGCTGAGTTCCAGCAGCATCGGTGCCAACTGGGAGGTTGTAGAAATGAGGAATCTCAGAGCCACCCACAGATTTACTGAATTAGAGTCTGCATTTTAACAAGCTCCCTGGGGTATTCATTTGCACATTAAAATTTAAACTCTGCTCTAAAGAACACAGTGTAAAATTTGACTACGGCAAAGATCAAACAAAAACACAAGGCTTTATATACTGTCATAGATATTACTCTAGATTTTAAATGCTTGTCCCCTATTCTCTTTGACACTCTGTAATCTAAAGCACACAAATTGTTCAATGAACCAATCTATCACAGATTTCATGCTCCTAGAACTTCAAAACAAATCTGAGACTTGCATAGACTAATTCTGTTCTTCCTTAATTCTGGCATTTATAATTGTAATTTATAAATAGCTTCTTGTGTCCAGAGCTATTTCTAACAACTGATACTCAGTTATGTTTGTGAGAGTACTTTTTCTTAAAAAAATAAGTTTCCTATTTATGTGCATAATCTCAGATAAGTCTCAACTCTATAACCTCATTTCCATATATTGCTAGTCAGAGCATCTTTTTGTAAAACCAAATCATAGTAAAAAAACTATAAAGAAAATCTAATATTTTATGTTGTATCTAACTTTCCATACTAAATATGGTTTCTGCTACCTAATACGGATTTTCTTAAGAGCTCAAGAGGAATAATTTGGGATCCCAAAAAGCTTCCTAATGTGATCTGTGCTCTGTTCTAACCTATTTACAAGGAGGTAGTGTTTCAACATGTCTCACTACACAATTAAGCCAGCATTCCAAGAACATAATAGTACCTTTAAGCAATGGTGTTCGGTATAACAGGTCTTTTAAATGAATTATAATACATTTTTTAAAAGAAATTTACAAAATTTTTATGCACTTGACAAATACATTTCTAAGACATAAATCAGTAAGTCATAATTTTATAAAACATAGTGTTTCTATCATTAAAACCATATCTTAAAACTCATTCATCACAGCCCTTTCCTTCTCTTCTTACTCTCTAATTCTATTAAACTATATCGTTATCTGAATCTATACTAGAAACAGATTTTACCCGGTGGCCTGACATTCAGTTCCCCTCCCCTCCTGAGAACACCTCTTTCCCACTGTTTATGCAGACTAAACCTACCCTGGGCTGTGGAGGCAGGCCCTCCCTACAGGTACCAAGCCAATTAGGGTAATCACATTCCTCTGACTACTTACAGTAATCTGGTCAAGGGTGGTCTAATCAGATAAAAGCTCAGGACTTTTGATCCATTGTTGTGGGGAATGCTCTCTCCCCAAGGATGTAAATAAAAAGTACCTTCTGTTGCTGATGGAAGCAATCTTTCAACCAAGAGGAAAATCAGCATGAAGAGAAACCCCACATAGAGAGCGAGGCAAACCAGGAGAATCAATGAAGTTACAGTCAAAACAAACTACAACTGAAAGCTATGCTACTTTTACTTGTCACTTAAACAAGTCAATAAAACTTTGTAGTTTAAGGCAGTTCGAAATTGGTTTTCTGTTGTCAGCAGCAACCAAAGCATTCTGATGGAACCTCAAAAGAAAGCATAAAGAATGTTCAATATGCTATTTCTCAAATGTATAGATTAATTGCCACTCTTTGTTCCTTAATTCAAATTGGGATATGATAAACTTATAACAAGAAGCTGAAACTTAAGACCCTTTTTGCTATTTTAACATAGTTGGCTAAAAACAAGTTATATTTTAAGAAAAGCTTTTAACAGATATCTATTTATATGCTTAAGATCACTTTATGTTAAAATGTTAAATACAGTACTGGCATAAAAATAGATACATTGATAAATGGAACAGAATAGAGAGCCCAGAAATAAATCCACGCCTATATGCTCACTTGATATATGACAAAGGAGGTAAGAGTATACAATGGGGTAAAGACAGTCTCTTCAATAAATGGTGTTGAGAAATTGGACAGATACATGCAAAAAAAAAAAAAAAAGCTGGACCACCTTCTTACACCATATACAAGAATAGACTCAAAATGGATTAAAAACTTAAATATAAGACCCGAAACCATAAAACTTCTATAAGAAAACATAGCCAGTAAACGCTCTGATATTACTAAAGGGGATTTCTCTTCAGATATATCTCCTCGGGCAAGGGAAACAAAAGAAAAAACAAATGGGACTACATCAAACTAAAAAGTTTTTGTACAGCAAAAGAAACCATCAACAAAACAAATACAATCGACTGTTTGGGAGAAAATATTTGCTAATGACACATCTGATAAGAGGTTAATATCCAAAATATATAAAGAACTTATACAACTCAACAACAAAAAACAAACAATCCAACTAAAAAATGGGTAGAAGATCTGAACAGATACTTCTCCAAAGAGGACATACAGATGGCCAATAGACAGAAAAGATGCTCGAGGTCGCTAACCATCAGAGAAATGCAAATTAAAACAATGAGATTGCCTCACCTGTGAATGGCTATCATCAATAAATCGAAAAACGAGTGTGGTGAGGATGCGGAGAAAAGGGAACCCTCATACATTGTTGGTGGGATTGCGAATTGGTATAGCCGTTATGGAAAACAGTATGGAGGTTTCTCAAAAAATTTAAAATGAATATACCTTTTGGCCCAGCAATTGCACTTCTGGGTATTTATCCAAAGAGAACCGAAACAATAACTTGTAAAGATCTAATGCACTCCAATATTCATGGCAGCATAATTTATAATAGCCAAGATATGGAAGCAACCTAAATGCCCATCAATAGACGACTGGATAAAAAAATTATGATTCGTATATACAATGGAATATTACTCAGTTATTAAAAAAATGAAATCCTACCATTTGCAATGACATGGATGGACCTAGAGATTATTATGCTGAGTGAAATAAGTGAGACAAAGATAAATACCATATGGTTTCACTTATATGTGGAATCTAAGGAACAAAAAGAACAAACTAATCAAAAACAGACTCACAAATATGAACTATAAGTTAGTAGTTGATAGTTGGGCACGGGGAGCATGGTAGAGGGAATGCAGTTAGCATTAATATGACGACTAAGTGGGGGCCAGGGGAGGGAGGGAGCAACTGGGGGAATCGTTTTATGAACATTATAGATGTCTAACCAATGTATTATATACTTGAAACTAATTTAAATAAATAAATTTTTTTTTAAAAAAGTTAAATACAGGGAAATCAAAGCCATGTAAAGCCATTTAGTCCAAATGAAACAAAGTGGAAAGAAATTTAAACATCACCCATAGTCAATTAAGATGTAAAAACTAATAATTATGGGCTCTCTTTTTAGTATCTGGCAAAGAATATTTTTTGTAGACATATTAAAGAGAGACAGTATGATTTATAGATACCTCAAAAGTACCAAACAAGACATACACAACAAACTGGATGAGCCAAATTTTAAAAATTAAAAGATAATAATGTTTAATGGCCTTATGGCAAAAACTAGAGAAAGCATTAATACCTTTAAAACAGTGGAAATTAAAATATTTTTATAACTACCAGATCTTTTTTCTTTAATCGGAGACCCAAATGATCTGCTTAACTGTATGGGTCCAACATTTACTCCTTTTTATTTATATACAAATCAAGTCATTTTTCACATTTGACGACTTTGGCTTTTAAGTTAAACTTTATTTTGGGATAATTGTAGACTCATACAGTTTTGCATTTTAAAATTAGAGATATATAATGATAAATACATTCTCCAAAAATAACCATACTTGTTAAAAAATAATATCACCATATCAAACTGTCAAAAGCTTAAAAAGAAATAACCCAACCTATTTTTTTCCTCACAAAAGAACATAGATTTCATGCTGAGAATTTAGAGGAAAAAAGCTAAATAGGTAAAAAGAAAACAATGACTCATGCAATCCTACTACTTTTTAGTGTTTCCACATAGGTTTTTTATTTTTTCCTATGTTTTGTATGTGTTTGTGGGATGGGGGTGGTGGGTTGTAGTGGTAATCCCACTAAAAAAAATACAAACAACCTTTACCCAAGAATAAACTGTACTTTTAGGGCCTGTTAATCAACAGCATCAATGCTCATGAAATTCCTAATTTGATAAAAATATCATCTATTCTAAGAAGAGCTTTGGGTAGTAAGAACATAATTCCACCTCATGATACAGGTGGTCGAGACCCAAACTGACATCCACCGGAGAGCAATAATCAAAGCTACAGCAGATGGGAAGCCTTTAAGAACACAGTAAACAGAGTGAGCAGTAAGGAGTGGTGGCATTAATAGGATGATACCTAAGAGGTATACCCATCTTATTTCTCAAGGAGCCAAAATGTTTTCTTAGAGCAAGCAATGGAAGTCAAGTTTCCTTGGTATCAATTTAGAAAGGCAAATTCTTTGGTTGCTTACATGTTAGTGAAATTATGTTTTTATTAGACCTCAGTTGCCGTTATTATAATAAATCTCAGATTTTCAAAAGTGGAGAAAACAAGATACATATTCAAAAGCATTGAGAGGCTATAATGCTACATACTAGATCAAGCTTTCAGTTGGTTTACTCTCATTATAATCTCCATTGGCAATGAGGTAGAGAAACACTAAAAATGCCAAATTCCAAAAGAATAAGACAAAATTTTATAGGAAAATGTTAATGGAAACTTAGAAATCTAAGCTTTTCTTGAGGAGTTTAACCCCACATTTTAGAGTCTTAAATTCTATAGTTGCAGTTCTTTCTTTTTACATGTTATCTCATACTTCTTTAAATTCCTATAGTATTGAAAAGGCTTTACCCATGCAATTTCATGTGTCATAACAAAATGTCATCTCATTTGCAGGGGCTTTACTTTTTTGTATGTTTGTCAGAAGCAGGCATTTAACATTTTCTGACTGATTAGATCTGGGAATGCCTATATAAGTTATGTAATTCTAAAGGCAGAGACAAACTGTCTATAGTACAAAGTATTACCACTCAACAAAATTTTTAGAGGAATAATGATCTTGGGTTTTAAAAAAATACTTTAAAATTAATTTATGTATTCTTAAAGGGAAACCTTTCTATGGGAAACAAAAAAAGCAAAGCTCTTTGTTTAGCCAAAGAACATACCCAAACAAACAAAAACCCCACAATTTACCTCGATAGTAGGCCTTTGTTATTGCATCAAATTCCTCTTGACCTGCTGTATCCCATAACATTAGTCTGACATCTTCATCATTAACTCTGGAACAAGACATGAATTTATTTCATAGGTAAAGGAAATGTCTTTAGTAATATAGCTTTGTGTATATTTTTATTTTTCAAATCTGGAAGTACTACAACTACATTGTTGGTTTCACTCCGATGAAGTACCTCTAAATGTTGATACCATTACCAACAGTGAAAGTAAGGGTAAAAGCCATTCCCCTAAAGCTATAACTTTATCATTTGGATTTACCTGCCATGTTTTTTCCTCTGACAACAGTCACAGACAGTGGTGGCTCTAAGACGAGCAGTACTGGGAAAAGGGAATTCCCCGAGGTCAGTGCTTACTCTCTCCTCTCACTACACCATTCTAACGGGTTCTGGTGCACAAGTGATAGTCTAAGAAAGGAAAGAAGCAGTTTACCTGCTTGCTTTCCCTTTAACTCTATTTTGTCATATAGTCCCATGTCTTATTCACAGTAGTTATGTTCTGTAAAGTCACAGCATACACTGTATTAGCAAATACTGAACCACAGCTCCTAAAGGAAACAGGTTTGACTCCTATGAGCCCCCGGTTACATTTTTATCAACTGATCAATACATAACCTTGTTTTTTGTGTGGTTCTGTTTAAAGACACCTTATTTAATATATATCGTTAATTCATTAACACTGAACTCGCAGCCTATGGCTATACCATGCCTGAAAGAAGCTTATCTATCACATACTTTCTCTGTATGACACAGGCTTCTGGCACTTAGGAACACCAGACGGCATTTCAGCACTGTGCTCGGTGGCCATTTTAAACAACGAAGTCACCAACAAAAAGCACACAAATGTGGCACAAAAACAAGATCAAAACTAAAAAAAACTAAAGGACACTTGTTTATAGTATGAAAAATGAAACAAGGAGGAAGAAGGTTGCCTTTTTCCACCAAAGTTGGGAATGTGTGTGAAGGGTGACTCAAATTTTTTGCTGCTCTGTACATGTCCACGAATGACCACCAAAGCACTGGGAGTACTAATTCTGGGGTTATAAATAAATTTTAGCAAGTAGGTGAATTTGTATTAACTGTATACTTAAAATATTAATATGAAACCTATGAATAATGAGGATCAACTCTATACTTAAAATATTAATTTGGTTCAGATATCAAGTACAAAAAACAAATCATCAAGACTTAAAATGAATCCTCTTAAAATATCTAAGGAAGGAAACAAACACAAAAATATTTTAAAAAGGGAGTAATGAATATAAATAAGAAATTCAACAATTTTTAAAACAATGAACACAACTATCTTTGATGTTAATGTCTGTACTAGTTAAGTCAGATTTGTTTAATGTTATTTTTTTCTGTAATACATTTTTTATCTCCTACAATTTAAAATATCCTTAAAAGTCTCCGGGACTAATGACAAAGTGTTACTTTGCTGTTTTAGAAATTGGATTTCCTGAAGTAAGATAGCCTCCTAAATATGCTTTCTCTTATTTCTTTGAAATAAAAACAAATGATTAATTCTCTAACTGCTTATAGTCTTGCCCAGTTTTAAAAATAGAAGAAGGATTCTGAACAAAAGAGTCCCATGATGGAAGAAATGAAAACTCTTCTGAGAGACGGGTAAGTTTTCTTCCAAATAAAATAGCAGATGTAAGTCTCATTGGAGTCAAGCACTAGTATGTGTTTAAGAAGTTGCCCAAGGTGTCATCAGTAAGCACAAAACAGACACAGGGTAAAAAATGAGGGCGCAGAAAGGGATAAAGGAAAAAAAGAAGAAAAAATGAGGAAGGAAGAGAAAGAGATGAAAGTAGGGGAAAAGATAGCAGGATAAAGATACACACTGAATAAGTAATTGAAAACCACCACCAACTATCCCATGAGCCCCTGCTACTAGATGCCTATCCTTGGACTGTACTGTAATTAATTATTATTCTGATGGAAGTCTTGAACACAGTTCACAAATCAAAACCAAGGGGATAAAATGGCCATGTACGTACTGGATTTGTCGCTCCAAAAAATCAACTCCAATGGTTTTCTTGTAGTCTTTTGTAAAAATGCCTTTGCAATATCGCTGAATCATGCTTGATTTTCCAACGGCTCCATTCCCAACAACCACCATCTTGATAGCCACTTCCATATCTTCCTCCAACATTTTTGGAGTTGAAAAGGTTTTGTACCAACTTTAATTCCAGCTGATCAGGTCTTTCTCAAATCTGTGGTTTAAAATTATTTTTTCGTGACATAAAAATTATACAAAATAAAATAAACTATAATTGTTTTAAGAAATAATTACATTACATTGCAAGAATTTCTTTCCAGATGGAGGCCCCCTCCCTACTCTGTTTAGATACTATAAATTCTTTGAAAAGAGGGACAATAAAATCATTTTTGAATCCTTATCAACAGCATAACGTATGACATCCAGGTATCAATAAATGCCTAGATTATATAGTTTTACTTTTGATAGATACTAAGACTATGGATGTTAGAGTTGAGGCCTGATTTAAAGTTGCCATTTACTAGTTCTGTACTCTTAATGAAGTTATTGCTTAACCTCTTTAAGTTTCAGTTTCCTGGGAATATTTATTTACATCATAGGATTGTTGACCAAAGATACTTATAAAGCACCTAATATGGTATAAGTTAAGCATTCAAAAAATGGTAATTTTATAAAACATAATAAACCCTCCACAGTTACCACCAACTGGGCAATAAATATAAAATCTAAGGAAATTGCTTTTTCAACCTCAATGTAATAACTGATAACCTAGAAAAGTACCCCTAAAGAAAGATTTTATATAATAATGTACAACTGTGTGACAGCACTGGGCTCTTAGTTACAATGTTTTAGTGTTCAAGTTACAATAAATCCCTCTACAAATAATCTTATACCATGCATTCTTTCTTTAGAATTTAGTTTCAGACTAGCTATTGTTACTCATCTAATGAAAGTAATAGAATGTGTACTGTTTGCATTTTATTTTTTATTATCTTTTTACCCTCTTTAATCCCACTCCCCACCCACCCCACCCCCCCGGTGCACTTGGGGGACCTGGCATACCCGCACCCGGGGTATGGCCCGTGGCTCCACCTGGAGTGTGAACCCAGGGCCTTCTGCGTGTAAAGCAGATATACTAACCACTACGCTATGGAGCCACCCCAACACTATGGAGCCACCCCGTTTGTATTTTAGACTGAAAAAAAACCGGAAAGTTAATTTCTTCATATTTCTTCTGAAATTACTAGTTAAGTTCCTGTCAACCTAGCTATTATACTCCAACTACCTTAACTGAAAATCCATCTATACAATCACTACACAATCTGAAATATGAAGAACACTACTTTTTTGTGTCCCTAATAGTTTCAGTAATTGTCCCTAGCATATGATTGGAAGAATCATCTAAGAACATTTATTAAAGGTTCTAGGTCTCCACCCCAGACACAATTAAATGATTAAAAAAAAAACAAAAAAAAAAACTTAGAATATCAGAACAAAAGAAAGAACATGGTAGGTCCAAAAATATGGGTAAATACAACAGATTTCTCTTGAGTGTTCTAAATTAAGTTAGACAGTTGAAACAAAAACTTTAATACTGTCCAATGTGATTTTCAATATATGTAAGGAAAATATTTAAGCCAATTAACACAAATGGGAGAGAAAAAACGGATGTAAAGGGAAGTAAGGTTTCTATACTTCACTTGAACTGGTAAAATGTTGATACCAATAGATTGTGATAAATTACATATATATAATGTAATACCCAGAGTAACTACTAAAGTTACACAAAGAGATATACTCGAAAACACCACAGATAAAACAAAATGAAATTCTAAAAATAATAAAACTTTCTAAATCAGATCAACATTTATGGAACTGTCCACATAGCAACAGTAAAATATTCATCTTTTCCAGCACCCACTAAACATATATCAAGATAGAACGCATTCTAGGCCATAAAACAATCCTTAACAAACTTAAAATAATGGGACAATGGAACCAAACTAGAAATCAGTAACAGAAAAGAAGAAAATCTCCAAACATTTGAAAACTAAAAACACAGACCTCTAAACAATCCAAGGGCCAAAGAAGAAACTTAAGAGAAAATTTTAAAAAGTAACTGAATTGAAAGAAATGAAAGACAACTTGTCAAAATTTGTGGGAGATAGCCAATGTAGTGCTGAGAGGGAAAATTTACAGCACCGAATGCTTACCTTAGAAAGGAAGTCTCAAATCAATGATCTAAGCTCCCACCCCAAAAAAATAGAAAGAGCAAAACAAAGCCAATGCAAGCAAAGGATGGAAATAATAAAGAGCAGAAATCAATGAAATTGAAACATAAAAATAATAAAATAAAAGTTGGTTTCTTGAAAAGATCAATAAAGTTGACAGAAAAAAAGAAGATACAAATTACCAATATCAGGAATGATATAGGGATATCACTACAAAAGGATAATACAACGAACAACTCTATACACATAAATTTGACAACTTAGATGAAATGGACCAATTCTCTGAAAAATATCAACTATCACAACTCACTCAATATGAAATATGTAATTTGAATAGCTCTGTAACTATCAAAGAAATTGAATTTGTAACTTAAAAACTCAAAAAGAAATCTCCAGGCTCAGATAATTTCATTGAAGAATTCTACCAAACTTTTCAATAATTAAAGCCAACAATACACAATCTCTTCCAGAATAAAGAAGTGGAAGAAACACTCAACTTATTTAATAAAGCCAGCATTATCTTGATACCATTACCACATAAAGACAGTACAAAAAAAAAAAAAAAACTAGACAAATATCCCCTCATGAACACAGAAGTAAAAATCCTCAACAAAATATCAGTAAATCAAATCCAGCAATATATAAAAAGAATAACAAGGACCAGTGGCCTTCATTCTGGGAATGCAAGGTTGGTCCAATACTCAAAAATCAATTAATTACAATCCACCATATTAACAGAGTAAAGAAGAAAAACCACGTATCATATCAATTAATGTAGAGGAAATGTTGGACAAAACTCAACATCCATTTGTGAGAAAAACTCTCAGCAAACTAGAAACAGAAGAGGACTTCTTCAACCTGATAAAGGGCATCTATTAAAAAAACCCTACGTCTAAACATCATAATTCTGAAAGACTGATTGTTTTCCTCCTTTGGGGAAATGCCTACTCTCACTTCTCCTATTTATCATACACAAAATCTCAGCCAGGGCAATAGGCAGCAAAAATAAATAAAACACAGATTAAGGAAAAAAGAAATAAAACTGTCTCTATTAACGAATGACATGACTGTCTATGTAAAAAACTCCAAGGAATCAAAAAAAAAAAGAAAAAAAAATTCCTGGATCTAATAGTAAGTTTAGTAAGGACACTGGATATAAGAGCAGCACACAACACTCAACTGTATTTCTGTATCTTAACAATGTACAATTTGAAACCAAAACTTTTAAAATGACATTTACAAGAGTTCCAAAATTGTTAAATACTTTGTTATAAATCTAACAAAACATGTATAGGATCTGTAAGCTGAAAACTACAATACGCTAATGACACAAAGACCTAAGTAAATGGAAAGACGTATCATGTTCATAGATATGTTTAACATTTTCAACCAAGTAAAAACAGCAGTTCTCCCCCAAATCAAACTATGGTTTAATTCCAAAGTACTAGCAGGCTATTTTGTAGTTAGAGATAACCTGATTCTAAACCTTACATGGAAAGGCAAAGGAACTAGAAGAGCTAAAAACAATTTTGAAAAAAATAAAATTGGAGGATGTCAGACTACTCGATTTTAATACACTATAAAGCAACTTAATCAAGAAAGTGTGATACTAGCAAAGAGAAAGATACATAAATCAATGGAATAGAATAGAGGGCCCAAAAATAGACCCACAAAAATACAGCCAATTGATTTTTGACAAAGGTGCAAAAACAATTCAATGGAGAAAAGACAGTCTTTCCAATAAATGGTGATGGAACAATTGGACACCCACATCCAAAAAAAAGTAACCCTTCTCTTAAACTTTATACTTTGTACAAATAATTCCCAAAATGGATCACAGATCTAAATGTAAAATTATAATTTTTAGGAAAAAAACTTTTAGAAGGTGAAACTCTTGACCTGGGATTAGACAGAGTTCTTAGACATGATACCAAAAGATCCACAAAAAGAAAAATTGTGATACACTTCATCAAAATAAAAAACATTGGCTCTGTGAAAGACACTGTTAAAAGAATGAAAAGACGAACTACAGACTGGGAGAAAATATATGTAAAACAATTATCTAACAAATAACTTGTATCCAGAATATATAAAGAACCCTCAAAATTCAAAATAAGAAAGCAAATAATCCACTTAAAAAACGGGCAAAACTCTTGGCCAGATACTCACCAAAGATTATATATGCCAAATAAGCACATGAAAAGATATTCAACATCTTTAGCCATCTTTAGTTAAAGACATGGTAAAGCCGCAAGATACCATTACACGCCTATTAGAATGGCCAAATTTAAAAATACTGACAATGCCAAGTGCTAAGGAGGATGTGGAGCAACTAGTACTTTCCCACGTTGCTGGTGAAAATGCAAAATGATACAGCTACTCTGGAAATCAGTGTGATAGTTTCTTTTAAAGTTAAACATACTTAACATGACCCTGCAATCTTCTCTCCTAGCAACACCCTAGAGAAATGAAAACTTAAGTTCACACACACACACACACACACACAAAACCTATACACCAGAGTTTATAATAGCAGCTCTATTCATAATCACCCAAAACTGAAAACAATCCAAATCGGTACATCCATCTAACAGAATACTATTTAGCAATAAAAAAGAAATTGTTGATGCATGCAACAACTTGGAGGAATCTCAAAGGTATTATGCTGAAAGCAGCCAGCATCAAAAGTTCACGTACATGATTTTATTTACATGATAAATGTAGAAAAGATCAGTATGGATGGCCCAGACTTACGATGGTTTGACTTTATAATGGTGTGAAAGCAACAGGAATTCGGTAGACACCATACTTGAAATATTTTGAATTTTGACCTTTTCCCAGGCTGGCGGTATGACACTTTCTCATGATGCTGGGCATGGCAGCAGGGAGGCGCAGCTCTCAATCAGCCACGAAATTACGAGGGTAAACTGATACCCTACAGTGTAGTATGTATTAAATGCATTTAGACTTATGACATTTTCAATTTACAATGGGTTTACGGGGACCTAACCCCACCCTAAGTTGAAAAGCATGTGTAATTGATGGGTTAGGGATGGATAAAAAGAGACAGCATTTTTTGGGGGGTGAGTGATGAAACTGTTCCTGATTTTCATGGTGGTTATATAAATCTAAAATTCATAAAACTGCACACCTCCAAATATGTCAATTTTACTATATGATTTAAAAAATAATAAAATTTAAAGAAAAAGGTGGAATCAGATGTTAATACAGGCAGTGTAACTTGTGATTATCAGCCACTACTACATTATAGACTTAAAGCGCTGTATCAAAACAATTATGTTCTTAAGAAATAGGCATAATTCTGAGTACAATTATTAAAAAGCTTTAATTATTTAAATTGTTTAAATAAAAACAGTAATGTTTTATGAAAACAGTCTTTCCCCAAACTTTAATTTTAAAGATTTTGCCAACCAATACAATCTAATAAACTAGAAAAGGAAAGGATGAGTTAACTCACTGATCAGAAGCGTTGTTTTTTCATCACAGCCTGTACTTAAGTACAGGTATGATTATATTTACAAAAATACTGAAAAACTTCTTAGGTTCGATGAAATTACTTAGATGTTAGGAGTTAGATAAAACCTAGAGAAGTAACCGACCCTTTTCAGAGTCTACTGCTACTTGATAGTGAAGTTATTACTTTCACACACCCTCAGGTTCTTATGCCTGGGAGCAGCCTATGGCTCCTCGGTTCTAGTAAAGTAATTCTGTGGCAGCCAATGTCAATGAAATAGTGCAGTCTGGCTCATTCATATTCTAGCAGTCTCCGAGCCAGAAACTAAGGAAGGGTGGAGCCGCGGGTTAAGGAGGGGGCCCCTCCGCAAGGAGGAGAAGAGTCTAAAACCTAGGGTAGAGCTTGGGACCCTCTTCCCCATCAAACCTACCCCGAACACTTAACGCTCCTAGCTTGTGTCTCTCCCGGCCTGGGTCGCCCCTTCCCCACTGGGGGTTGGGACAGGGCAAATCATCCGGCGCTCCGCCAGGCTGGCGGCGCGGAGCCTCGCCCCCGCTCCACCTCGCGCCTTCCCGCCCAAGGGACAGTTCCAGGCACCCACACCCAGGAAGACCCGCCGCGGGGAGCGGAGAGGGGGAGGGGGCGCCGGGCAGGCGAGCCGCCCACCTCCTCCAGCAGGAACTTGGGACACCGCGCTCAGGGGTGGGGGAGCCGGCATTCCGCGGCCAGGGCCCGGGGATGGGAGCCCGGGCCTGGAGGCCCCTGCCCCCTACACCCCTGTCCAGTCTCGGGAGTGAGGCACATCCCGGGACCCCTGGGAGCGGCGGGTCCTTCCCCAGCGGAGCCAGAGGACTCCTTTGCCCCTGGAGAGGGCGAGTGAGTTCAGCGCCGCTGCCCCGGAGCGCGAGCCGCTACTCACCTTCCCCCGCCGGCCACGGACCGGCCGCCCGGCGCGACCGGCTCCTCTCGGTCGCGGCGCAACGGCCGCCGCCGCCGCCGTCACCTCCTCCTCCCAGAGCGCCAGCTCCCCTGGGGGGCCGCCCGGCTGGCTCGCCGCCCCCCTCCCCCTTTAAGATGACT